AACGCGTTTGTTTTTTAAAACAAACAGTCGAATCGGTCGTATTGTGCCTAAATGATGGACCCGACTGGATCCGATGAAACTGATTTTTCAGTGTGCACTGGGTATTAAATAGAGCCTTCTTTCTTATTCACTATTCTGACATGGTGTTTATTCGTACTAACTTTAAGTAAGGACATAACCACAGTGAATGTGTTACAACGTTCTCCAACAGAAAAGTGACCTTCCGACTTATGTTTTGGAACCGTAAGCCTGTTGAGTGGTATCTATGGTGAATAATTAATGGTTCTATAGCTTCCACTCCACGCACGCGCTCATGCATATAGAAGTTAGGAACCCGACTTCAAGTGTTTCTGTTACATAAAATACAGACACATATTACCGACAAAAGTAATGCAAATTCACATGACACAAGAAGAGGACAGTAAATTGAAGCAATATTTTTATTTAGAGAAACAGGTTTGAGGTGTCTCAAATTGCACAAAACAATGCTTGAGAGTTGGGGGTTTGCTTAGGGACAGATTTTGTTATGCGGCGTCAATGACCTTAACGTGGGGGCTTAAGTTCAAGTCAGTATCTGGTGTGGGCCCCATTAGCGTTGATGACAGCAGTACATCGGCGATGCATAGAGTAGACCAAGCGATTGATTTGGCAGTTGGGGACCTGCACCCACTCCTGAAGAATAGCAGCGCCCAGTTGTTCAGCTGTCCGGGGTCTGGGCTGGTGTTGGTTGAGACGCCTCTGAAGGATGTCTCAAAGGTGTTCTATTGGGTTCACATCTGGAGATCAATGTGGGTGAGGCATGATAGGTATGTTGTTCTGCTCCAGGATCAGCTGTATAGCACGTGCTGTATGAGGTCGGGCGTTATCCTGCTGAAAGAAGTGGTTTTGGTGTCTCTGGAAAAATGGAGCAAGATGGGGCTGTGGGGCTTGTTTGATGTAGCGCTGTGCCGTCACTCCGTTGCCACGTCCAGGTCCTAAATTTTGGAAGATTATGCGACACCAGTCTTTGATTGATACCAATTGCGCCCCATATCAATATGCCTTGAGCTCCCACAGGTCTCTTTCCCTGATGTTCTCATCAGAGTAGCTTTGTCCGGGGCGGCGTCAAATTCGGACCCGTCTACTGTCAGGATTGATGCAGAAGCAATTGTCGTCGCTGAAGATTACACGCTGCAAGTGTCGGTATCGCCGGTTAACGTGGTTCTGAGCCCACTGGAGACGAGCTCGCCGATGATGAACGTTCATGGGTGCTCTCTGCTCCGGACGCCTACGATGCAGCCCCCTGGCCACAAGCTAACGCATTATGGTGTGGTCACTCGCAACTCTACCGTGCGTTCCTATGGTGTCTCGGAGGCAGACAACTGTGGATCTCGGCGATGTTGACGCACGACGAAGCAGTCTTGGGCAACTGTCGTCAGTCGAGGTCTTCTGCTTCTTTGTAGATCTATCGTGGAGTTGGTTGCCTGGGATCTGTTCTGCAGGCGGTAGATAGTGCTGGCATGTACTCCCAGGACTATTGCCACCTGCTGAGGGCTCTCACCGGCTTGCAGACGTCCAATAGCTCTTTCTCGATTTTCTGCAGATAATCTTGGCATCTTGATAGACCTTATGTAATTGCGAGCGCCGTAAAACTCTGCTAAAACAAACCAAAGGACTATGCAACGTTCAATCAAACATTTAAGGGCAGAGAATTTATAGGCTAGACCACCTTAACAAGTGTGAAAAAATATTCACTTTTCAATTCACGTTTCAACAGCGTACCATTGAGAGGTTTGCTTTGTAGTATTGTTTGATGCATAAGCAGCCAATGAGCGTGTTGTGTTTTTTAATCGAACCAATCCAATAACAAGAACACATTGTGCATAGAGACAAATGAAATCAACTCCCGAAAATACTCAGTTTTGTTTTCTACACATGGTGTTACTTTTTCGCGTTATTTATGCCGGTCGGTCAGTATATATATAAAGAGAGAGAGAGAGAGAGAGAGAGAGAGAGAGAGAGAGAGAGAGAGAGAGATCGGTCAGAAGAGAGAAAATAGAAAATTTTCATCACATTCAGTCAAGAAAAGAAATAATGCTCCAATGTACATCCGTACATCGAAAAGGGAACACGAGACGCCTCTATATATATTTGGCAAGTTGCTCTGTGTAGGGAAAGGCTCAAGGTCTCTAGCCACCTCATGAAATGTAATAAGCCTAAGTTTTTTTATTCAACAAAAATGTAATTCCTTTATCTTTACGGTCGGTAGCATGTGCTCAAAATATATTTTGTAGAAATTCAAATTGGAACAGCTTGGCATCGATACGGTCGTAAAACCAGAGACTTTTCACTACTTGCGTGAGAAATGAAATGTACTGTGCGCGTCCAAATGACTTGTGTATGGGTAGGCACGGAACTGTGAAGAATAAAGATGGGTCGCTGTGTGTGTGTGTGTGTGTTTGTATGTATGTGTGTGTATGTGTGTGTATTTGCATATATATATTTATTTGTGTGTGTGTGTTTGTGTGTGTGTGTGTGTGTGTGTGTGTGTGTGTGTGTGTGTGTGTGTGTGTGTGTGTGAGTGTGTGTACATGTTCATGTATAGTTGTGTACGTCCCACGTGTATGCCCCCCCCCCCTCGCATTGGGGAACGTGGGTAAAAAAATACACAAACGAACCTTTTCGTTGGGAGAAGGTAAAGGACTGTTTGTACGGGTTTTCTCCGGCCAAGTGATATGACTTGTCAGCTTCGATCATTATCAGAGGATATCAGTTTGTTTCTTTATGTTTGTTTGAGTAAAGAGAGCCACATGGACACAATAATGGTGATTTAGTGCCAAGAAAAAGTAAGACAGACAGACAGAAACAACAAGGGGAAAGTTAAGAAGTAAGACGTACCAGTGGCGCCCTCCAACCACCCGCTTTCATTCTGCTAAACAACCTACTTGTCAGATTCAAAAGAAATTGTTTTGAACGCCTTACCGTACCTAACATCGACATCTTATTCAGAACCTCGACTTGCAAGTCCACGAGGTCGAATTATTACTATCTTTTTAATGCACTCTAGTGACCTTTTGCTTGCAATTCATTGCGTCTAGTTTAAAAATATACCAGACACCATATTAATCATGTCGTCACCGGAGAACATGCCCACCCCCCCCCCCCCCAAAGACTCTTTTCTGAGGGTCAGTGTGCTCAGTCAGCTACTAAGACAAGCTAGTTTTGTTTTAGTAAGCGTTTCACGGCATTTACACCACAATTAGTTAATATAGGTTTTACTAGAAAGTAACAAAGAAAAAAAGATGGAGGAGAGATAAGGGATGATAGATGTTTGAATAAGAAAGAAGGAGCAAACCACACTAGAGCACCAGCCAATCACTCATTGTCAAGCTAAATAAGTAAACCAGAAGGTAATGAAAGAAGATGACGAAGAAAAAAAGACAAAAAAAGTGCAACAGCATGACAAAAAATAAGAAAGATAATACAACAACGAAAAAAATGTAGCCATGTACATTTATTGACCTCTATAATTATTTCTTAAAGATGAAGCTTATTTTTGAAAGTGAAAACGCCTGAAATTTAAAAAACACCCATAAGCGCAACATGCACAAATTAAAAATCTTTTAAGGGAAGTCATGAACCGATTGGTTTGTTTTTTTTCCTTCCTTTTCTTTTTATCATTTAATTTTTCCATCTCTGTAATATCTATTTATTTTATTTAATTTCTCTTATAGATTTAAAAAACCCAACTAACAATGCCATTCCAGATTTCTTAGAGCCACTGCCCTACATGTCCTCCTTTGGTTTCGAAACATTAATTTTGTCGCGTCGTTCGTTGTGGCCGAACATTAGGACCCGCCAAACCTTGAAAGCTGAAAACCGCACACACTGTATAAGACTTTTCACTGCAACTCATCTTCTAGATATGATAGGGGGGTGGGTGAGGTGCCCAATAGACAACATGTGTGGAGTGCACATATCCTGAAAGGTGAAAATAGGTTTTGCACTGAACCAAATGTCATTGAGGAAATGTTCACGTTTTTCAAGACGACCGAGGAACCATGAGCACATTGCTATCCTCTGATCCATGTCAATCTCACGAACATGAAAAGGATACTGTCGCAGCTAAAGATCTACCTAGAGAAAGTGGATCGTTAAGGTTTAGGAAAGTCCTACCCAAAGATATTGTCAGTGGACAGACGTCTCTCGGCACTAGACGGATGAATTTTGTATCTTGGAGACATTTAAAGGAGTGCAAACGGTGCGTTTTCGACCTGTATTGGTCGGTTTGTCTTGGAATTTTGAATACTGATTTTCTCTAACATCTTTACCCATGACAATCGAAAAAGGCCTTGAGGGCACTCTAGCTTTCATCCGTACCTTGTGTGAGACTTACGAAATGTCGGGGGATATTAAGATGGAGTTAATGTACTGCTCAATACAAAACAACTCTCTGCTCTTTACTAAACTTTGCTATGATCTCAACAGGGAAAGGAAACTTGAGAAAAACAATATCTGTAAACTTCTGTTGACTTGTTAGACTCTGTAGCGTGCAATATGGCGCGTTCGTTGCGACTTTTGGTGGCAGGTCTGATGCGAACTGATGCGTCATGTTACAAAAATGGGGACAAGGCAAAAATGGGTTTCTTTTGCGCTATACAGAGCAAAACTATTCTGTGGAACTATCTAAAAAGAATATCAGACACATTCCTTTATCCTACCAAATATTGTGTTCAAATTTGAAACACAAAGCGCCAGTGTGGAGTAAAATATTTACTTAAAAAGTTGTAAAGTTGGGTTTTTTTTATATTCCTGATATGACTTGAAAAAATAACATTCCTACGCGAGAACGAACGTATCCGGGGCATATACTACAGATGCCAGAGGGGCACCAAAGAGTATGCTGTGGTGATAAACAAATTAGAACATAGAAGAACAGCAAAAGAAAAACGTGTAAATTGTTCGCCATGGAAGAAGAAAAGAGGAGAGGATTTCTTACACAGAGGTCAATCCAGATCGGATAGAAGCAGCACTGTTTTATTCAGTATTTTTAAGTAAAGGAAAACACATATTATCATGGATTCAACACATACCATCATGGATTCTAACTAGAGTGCAAAACAACATGTGTCTAAGTTAAGTTATGTTATGGAAACTATTTGCGTTTTCAAGGCAATAAGAGGCTTGATCTTTCAAATGGAATATCCATCTCTGAGAAGACTTTGAGATTGGGATGATGTCAAAGGCATTCTGAAGAAAGCAAGCGTGTCCTAGGAGAAACTGGACTGCAGATTAATCCAGCAAGAGATTGTGGTCAGTTCTGGTTGATGAAGGCAACCATGTAGTCCCCTGTAGGATGAGGCTCCACTAGCGCCCGGCCTGTAGCGTCTACCGTCACGTTCTGGGCACAGTCGCTCATCAGATCACAGTAGGTGCCGGCGGGGAGACCTGTGTAGTGGACGAAACCATTTACACGACAACCATTCTCTTTGGATTACTGGTTTTCTTTTAAATCAACGAAAAAAAAAACAACAGCAAAAAGTCAAAGAAACAAAAAATCAAACAAACCAAAAAACAAAAAAGCAAAAAAAATTTTTTTTTAAATCCCCCAAAACTACCCCCACCAAAAAAAACAAAACAAAATTAAACAACAAAGCAAAACAACAAAACAAAACAACAACAACAACAACAACAAAACAACAACAATAAAACAAAACAAAAACAACAACAACAAAAGCAAACACAATACTAACAACAAAACAACAACAATAATAACAACAACTACAAGACAAGACAAACAAAACAGGAACAAAAGAAAACCACAAAACAAAACAACACAAACAAAAGAAGAACAACAGAATAAACAAAAAACCACAACAATCACCACTACTACCACCACCACCACAACAACAACAAAAACAATTAAACGAACAAAACAACTCCAGCACCAAAATAAAGTAGCAATTGGAGAAAGGGGGGGGGGGGGGCGCAGGGGAGGGGATTCCATGGTATCCACTCTTTCTATAAGTGTTAATAAGATTTCATAAATGGTATCAGTACATTCAGAATGATCTCCATAAACCTTTTTAACACTATGATAATTGGGGGGGGGGGGGGGGGGGGCATTGTCGTCTATAGGGGAAATATCAGGACTCAAGGGCCACGGGTTTTATAACAGCTAATAATTGCTGTAGAGAAAACCGCATCCCGCTATCAGATACTATGCGCCTTCACGTGCCGTCAGTGAAGCCAATCACGTACTCTGGGTTGACTGACAGTTGACCGCAACCTGGAGACACACACTCGGTGACTGACAGTTACATCAAACGGCAAATTAGGTCAGACTAGGTGGACTGGGCAATGGTCGTGATAATCCTAAGGGCCTGTTACACGATCAGTCCAAACTGACAGTAAAGTTGTCCGTCCTCTTTGTGATTAAAAATTACTACACGAAGCAATCTTGGTAAAACAAAGAAAAAAACCGACATCATTGTGATCTTCTAAATCCAGCAATATTGTTAAGTTTGATATGCTGCTTCAGAATTTGAGATTTTTTTAACGATAGGATGTAGTATTTAATAAGTTTACGATCTTGCCAGTTTGATAGTGTTTGAGCGCGTGAAATCCGCAGCTTGCACTGTATGCTTCCGCGGAAGCCGAGTATGTTTCTGAGTGTTCTCAGAGAGTCTGCTGGGGTAATAATAGTTGTAAAGCGCATAGAGCATGCTCTTGAGCATGGATATGCGCTATATAAATGCAATTATTATTATTATTATTATAAACGATCTAGTTTTTATCGTCGGACAGTCTGTTATGCCTGTGCCCCGCCGATGATAAAAATTTAGTTTGCAAACTTATTGAAAGCTACGTCCTTTCGTATAAGACAATATAAAATTCGGAACCTGCGTATAAAAATTATCAAAATGAATCGCGTGTGACTCTTGTTTTTCTTGCTGGATTCAGAAAATCACAAAAAGAAGTAGGCTATATTTACCAAGATTACATCATGCAGAATTTTCTTGTCACGAAGTGGACGGAAACCAAACTGCCAGTTTTAACTGATCGAGTAATAGGTCCCTTACAACTTGTACCAAGTCGGCCAGGGGATGTCTCTAACTTCTACTCCATACACGCGGCAGAATATTTAGTCAAATCTACATCGGAAATTGTTTCCAGGTAACTGTTTTACGGCGCTCAGAACTGCACAATGTCATATATATGAGCGCGCGGGGCACATTAAACATTTTTTAGTTGGTAGAAAATTTTGAATTATGTCCTGGTGGCGGCCGAAGCCTATTTTGGACCGCCAAGGGATCTTTAACGTGCGCAACTTGCACAAGCGAACTCCGAGATTCCCCCCCCCCCCCTCATTCGAGAAGGCTAGGTGTTAGATATTACCAACCGTAAGATCAGGGGCGTGGCTGAAAGACAGCAGTAAGAAGGAGCCAAGGAGTAGAAGTTAGAAAGGCTGCTGAAAGAGTCAGGAGCCCAGAGGAGGGGGCAAAGGGAGTGAGGGAGTGGGGGAAGAAAGTGGACACCAAAATAGACGACAGAACATTTTTAGAGCAGGAAAGGAGGTGAAAGAGGAGAACATTTTAGAGAAGAAAATTTTCCTTCGCTATCCGGACTCGAACCGGGACATATTGAAAGAGAGGCAAACACCTTAACCTCTCGACCACGAGAGTCCCCTGAAATTGTTTGACGCAGTTGGGGTGGCCCAATATTCCTTCGTGGAGGTTCAAAACATCGGACAGCTATTAGAATGTAGAGCTTACTAAGCCCAGAAAACACAATTTTACAGGAAATAGAAAGAAACTTTCGTTTTCTTAAACGTGTTTCTACATTACGTATTTTCCTTGATTTTTTCACACTTACAAGCTGAATTTTGGCAAAATATTAATATTTTCTTGAGTACGTGCAACATATCCAACGGATTAGGAAACTCCTATCTTAAACATTTTTAAAATGTTGGGCTTAGTATACATATTAGCAGCTGGCCAACGAAAACCGACTGTTTTGGCACACTTGGATAAAAATCCTACAAAATCAAACACGTTTTAAAAAAATGTTACAATCCGGTAGGTGAGATTAGAATTAACATTCACGAGGCTTGCACGAGTCACGTGAGATTGCAGGTTCTGATATTTTGTTTGCGCCGATTTCAACCAAGTGCGATAAGACCTAAATAGACTTATTGATCGTGTTGGAGGAAGCAAAGTAGAGGTTGTGGGTGGTTGGCGATAGCTCGGGTGAACAGTGTAGTTTGCTATCGCCCTTACCTTTCTTCCTTCATTCCAATCAACCATCTATCGTCCCTACCTCTCTCCTTTCTTTCCAATCAAGCATCTATAATTCTTACCTCTCTCCCTTCTTTCCAATCAAGCATCTATCATTCTTACCTCTCTTCCTCCCTTTTCTTTGCACATTACCCTCTTGCAACACCTCTAGTCTTTAGCACTTGTACGACCTATTTGCCCTGCACGTACCGTAAAACTCTCACTAAAATTAAACAAGCAAAGGTGTGTTCTGGTTAGTGCCCTTTCCGAATCCGATTCCATCCAATCTGATCTGATCTGATCTGATCATGATTTGATCAATGGGAACCCCTTCTTACCTGTATTCGTCGGTGGCTGACAGGTGCTCTGGTGTGGTTTGCTCCTTCTTTCCGTTCAAAAATATAATTCTGTCCTTATTTCTCCTCCTACTAATCTCTCCTTCTCATTTTCTTTACAAGCTACTCTCTAGTAACACCTTTAGTCTTCAGCACTTATGTGGCCTATTTGTGATGCAAGTACCGTGAAACTTACTAAAATTAAACATGCAAAGGTCTGTTAGATACAGTATGCATTAGCTTGGCCATGTCTAAACTCAGCCCGATCCGATCTCGATGATGTTTGACCAATGGTCACCCCGTTTCACTTGTGTTCACAGTCCCCCCCCCCCCAAATCTCACCTGTGTTCGCAGTCACCCCCCCCTCTCACATGTGTTCACAGTCACACACCCCCCTCTCTCACCTGTGTCACAGTCATCCCCTCCCCCCGCACCTGTGTTACAGTCACACACCCCCTCTCACCTGTGTCACAGTCACCCCCTCCCCCCGCCTCGCCTGTGTTCACAGTGACCCTCCCCTCACCTGTGTTCATAGTCACATAGTCACCCCCTCCCGGCTCACCTGTGTCACAGTCACCCTTCTCACCTGTGTTCATAGTCACATAGTCACCCCTCTCACCTGTGTCACGGTCACCCCCTCTTCCCGTCTCACCTGTGTTCACGGTCACCCGGAAGCGGTAAGTGGACATGGCGAAGAAGCCTTTGTCCCCACGGCTGAAGGAAGCCACGCCGTGTGTGTTGCTCCAGTTGTCCACTGACGTGCCGGACACCGCAGACCGGAATTTGACCATGTTGGAGATAGCTTTCCACCTGGAACCACACGACACATTCACGTAACGTTACAGAGATTCAACTGGACGGTCAGTAGATTTCCATAAAGGTCAGCTGTAGTGATGATTGAGTCTTAGGTGAACACATGTGGAATATCTCCGCCTCCTCGATCCCACGTTCTTCCTCTCTCCCTCTCTCTCTCTCTCTCTCTCTCTCTCTCTCTCCCTCTCCCTCTCTCTCTCTCTCTCTCTCTCTCTCTCTCCCCATTTCCCCTCCTTACCTCCCGTCACCCACTTTTCTTTGTCCGCCTACTCTCCCCCCCTCTTCTCCCCTCTCCTTCTCTTCTCCTTTCACACACATTTTTTACTCTCTCCCTCTCTTCCTCTCCCCCCCCACCCTCCTCGTA